GAAACCCAGTTCATCTCTTCCCCTCAGTGGCTGCTGGAGCTTCTTGGTGACATTTTTTGGGGAGAGAGGGGAGAGCTGGGCTCTTCAGCACATAAAGGAGTTGGTGAACCATCCTTTCTCTGGAGCCACCCTGGTGTATCAAGGGGCTTCTTTTTCCCTCTCAGTCCCTCTCCATCCCCGCTTCCTTCCTTCTGTTCATCAACTCCTTCGTTCTATCCACCATCAGTTCCTTCCTTCCTTCCTTATACCATCTGCTCCTTCCTTCCTTCCTTCCTTCCTTCCTTCCTTCCTTCCGTTCACCCACCATAATTTCCTTCCTTCCTCCCTCCCTCCCGGACCTTTTGAGGCACGCAAAGGCATGCAAGGGGAGGCAGCCACGGCCGGAGAAGGAGGAGAAGGGCAGCGAGCGAGCCAGCCAGTGGGGAGAGCCCTGCCAGGAATGAAAGAACCACACACAGGCTGCGCTGAGGACGGGCTGCAGGGTGGGGGCAGGCTGTGCCGCTTCCTACCCCTCCCCCTCCCCTCCCCTCCGGCCACAAGATCCACATTTCCTCTCCCTTCCTCTCTGGGAGAGAAAGCAGCCTCCCCAGGTGGGCAAAAGGTACAGAGACCCGCCTGTTCTCCTTGGAAGCAGACTGTGCCAAGGGGGCGTTTCGAACTACCCTACGGACTTGGGCCAGCTTGCTATCCTCAAGGGAAGCCCCAGGGAGATGAGACCAACGCTCGCCCAGGCCTCATCTCAGAGGGTTTCTTTTAAGGAGAATGGCGGGATACCAGTTATTCCAAATAAAATCTACGGATAAATAAATCCACCAGCCCAGACTCCCAAAGGACCCGGAAGATTTCTCCAGGGGTGGGGGGCAGGGGCGGCTGGCACCCAGCCGGGGGTGCTGGGGACAAAACTGTGGGAAACTGAGGCAAGAGCCACCCCACCCAGACAGGGTTTATCTGCAGGCTGGGGACAGAACTGTGGGAAACTGAGGCAAGAGCCACCACACCCAGACAGTGTTTATCTGCATGGCAGCAGCCTCTGTGCCAGAAGCCTGCGCAGAAGACAGCTCTTAGCAACGGCTTCTGCGCATCTCCCTGTTCCTTGCAAGGAAGGCCCATCTTTAGACTTGGAGGGAACCAAGGAAAATGTGGAAGCCCATGGAGAGCTGCTGACCGAACGCTTGGGAGGAAGAGCCCGTGGGAGCATTTCCCAGGGGCCAGGAACTGGGGTTTCTCCTTCGAGGAACACTCTCTGTCCCTCCCCTTCCTTATAAAACGCCAAATCTGTCCCTCCTCTCTTGACTCCTCAGGGGCAGAAAAGGGGGAAATATCCAAATGCGAGACGGACGGACTCCCGCAAGGAAGCCACAGGCGGGCGCCTGCAAGAGACGAGCGGGGCTGCGGAGGGCGCAACCTGCCGGGGTTCCCTTGTTCATGGGAGGTGACGCGATGACCCATAAGTGGCAACCCCCCCCACGACAGCCTGCTCCGATCCTGTCCCCCAGCTAGAGAATGAAGCAAAGGAGGTCCTACGAGGGGTCCCAACTCCCCCCTTCGCTTCACTTTCAGGGTCTGCTCAGAAGAGACCCCCGAGAGCA